CTCCTAATATTCTGTGATTCTGTGAACTATATACTACACATACCAAGTGAGAGCATTATGTTTCCGATATCTGTTAACTAGTCATTACAAAACAAACAACTTCCCCTCTCAATCTTGTATACAAATGACTTCAAGAAAGGATTACCTTTAAAACAGTGTCAAGAGGATTTCCAGAATCTGGTCTAATAATAAGTGGTGCCTCTGGACTTCGGGCTTCAATTATATGCCTTAAGTTATCACCCCATATTTTTTCACAAGCATTGTAAATGTCGTAGCTGTCACTAACCACAGATACAGGCACTGAAGAAAACTGTGTCACTATGTGTTCAAAAGCATCTTTTTCATGATCTTTCCCCCAAGCTGTTATGGTACTGTAAAGTAAATTGAAAAATCCACATTAGCACAGCATTTATATGTTAAATCACACATTCTGTATCTCCTACCAGTAACAGAGTAACAGTTTAAGATGATAGTAGGCAATATGATTACAAGACAGCATAAACTATGTGCTTATCAGCTCTGTGTTGCATGGATAGTAAAGATACTACATACTAAACAAACAGCACCCTGGATTCACCTTTGGCAACAGACAAACGAAACTTCTTTCACACGTAAATGTAATGTTATTTCTTTATTTAACAGTTGTGAGAGAGTTTCTCTTTGTCCTGGTTTTGCTGGGATAGAATCATAGAATCAATGTTCTACTCAGGAAAGCTGCAGTTTTGAGAATACTACACCACCAGATTCAGTGAGAATAAAGTTGACAAGACTTTTTTTTTTTAGTTCCTAGCAAGTCCTGGTATGCAGGTTGCCAATAGTGATCAAGGTGTTTAGCAGCTTGAAGTTATCCAGGTACTAAAGCTAGGAGAAGCAAAAGCCAGGGCAGCTGACCCAAGCTGGCCAACAGAAGTAATCCACAACATAAACATCACGCTCTCTATAAATTGGAAAGTTTGCTAGGAACAGTTCCTTTCTCAGTGGTTTCCATCCCTGGGAGGCAAGGGGGGGGTCCTTGCCCGTCATTCTGCTCCCAAGACCTATTCTCCTGTTTGTTGTGACCGTCGTGCTTTTGTGGGAGCTGTGGTGACTGGAGCGCTTAACATCGAGTATTCACTGCTGGGAGTATGCAGCTCATGACCACTACATGGGCCGAGTATAGCTCTGTGTACTTTTTTTTAGTATTAATTTTTAAAATTATTTTATTAAATCTCTTTCCATTTCAACCCATAGGTGTCCTTTTCTTTTCCCAATTCCCCTTCTCAGGTGAGAAGGGGTCATTGGGTGATAGAAAAACTGCCTAAGCGAAGACACTCTTTTAAATCTGAAATTCAGACAGGGAACTACAGATGCAAAACCAGAACATCTGCTCTGGGAACTTCAGACTACAAAATGGGAAGTAGAGTACTAGCAGCATATGTTAGAAAAATCTTATTAAAAAAATAGTTTTCTTTTTCAATAGCGATTTAAAACCATTATGCTCACTCATACAAAGATTCTTCTAGAGTAACCTCAGGGCATTACCCTTGGTACAAGGGTACAGGCAAGCACATAAAACAGAGTTGCCAAGAGAGGTAATAAGTTACCGAATGCCAGTCAATCTGCAGTAGCTGTTCTGTATGTGGCTGTCACAGACCAGCTGACATAACTGACTTCAGTAACTTGTGTGTGACCACCTAAAAATGCTCTCATGCGAAGTATAGGTGTGCAGTAAGAGCTAATGGGCATTGCATTTTTACCATAAAATGTTGGCATTAACTTCTGTGTGGACAGAAGAGAAAAAACAAAATTTGTTTCGAAGAGGCTGGGGCAGTCCAAGGAACAACCCTGGTGGTATGCCAGAGGCAAGCACCACACTCCTTGCACTGGAGGTTGTGGAACAGTGGAACAATTCTGGAAAAAATCAAGTTTCTTGCACAAGACTCTTTCTGCATATCAACTTGGAAAGGATGACTGCAGTCTGCATTTGGTAATGTAAACTTTAACTAGAACAGTTTAAGCTGCCTGCTCTCATACTACCACCTCAATGTGATATGCAGAAGACACTTGTTTGTTATTTAACTCCATGTGTCTGCCTTAATGGGGGGGACACATGTTTGGAGCAATGGCGTTCTGTCTTCCCAGGTAACTGTTGTGAGTGATGGAGCTCTGCTTTCCTGGAGATGGCTGAACACCTGCCTACCAATGGGAAGCAGTAAACAAATTCCTTGTTTTGCTTCACTTGTGCGTGCAGATTCTGCTTCTCCTGTTAAACTGTCTTTATCTTAACCCACAAGTTTTCTCACTTTTACCCTTCCAATTCTCTCCCCCATCCCACTGGGGGTGAGTGAGCAGCTGTGTGGGGCTTAGTTGCCAGCTGGGGTTAAAACACAACAACCTGTAAGCCTTCAAGTCCATTCCAAAAAGAGTCATCCAAATTTACTTACATACTGGTAAAAAGGTTACAGTTGAAAAATTTTAAAACATATTTATAGTTAAGAACAACCATGGCATTGTTGGGTCCCTAGAACATACAGAGGCATCAGTATTGAACTTGATCCTCAACAGCTGGATCAGTCATGCCTAATACTGTACGGTGTAAGTGAAACAGCTTAATATTTCTGGATACAAAGATGGATAAGAGAAAAATACATTTTGTTAAGCTATTTTTAAAAAGGCTTTAATAGCCCAGTATCTTACCTGTGTTCAGCAGCTGGAACAGAATATCCTGGAACCGGATCTTTTGTACCGTAGTACTTCTTAATTAACGCAATTCCTGCTACAGTGTCTGTTCCTTTGAAGTTCACCAAATGAGCTGAAGCTCCTATTCCTGCAGTCTGAAAAAGATAAAACTTTCAGCTGTCACACCAAATATAGAAGCCTAAATCCAGTCATGGCCTAGCACTAGTTTGTTAACTAACAGCAGGACTCTGACTCCATTTCTGTTTCACCAATACCCTTTTCATGCATGTACATAGGAAAGACAACTTCCATACAGAAAAAAGCTCTTCCAGTCTAGCGCTCACAGTTCAAACACATACCTACCACAGATCTCCCTCATCCACATAAGTCCAAACACAGTGCTCTGTGCATTCACAATTCCACTGCTGAACAGTGACACGCCTGTTAACAGATACATGCTACAATCCTTTATAGTCAAGAACAACTAAATTTCTCAAATTATTAGAGAAGTAGTATTACCTCTTGTGAAGAGACTCCTCTGTAGCCGAAGTCATGCAGTTTATACTCCAGTCCTTCTAAGCTGCCAGAAGTCTCTAGCAAATATTTGGCCAAAATCTTTTTCTGCTCTCTTGAGTTTGTAGCCACTGTGATTGGATACCATGACTGCACAAGAATAGTCTAAAACAAAATCCATCACATTATTTGGTGTATGTTTGCTTAGGACTTAAAAATCCCCACTTGGCATTTAATGAGGCACAAAATGGCCTATTTATTTTCATAGCTCATTCAGAAAGTACTGATGCCTCCAACAGTCTTCTTTAGGGCCAAAGTAATTAGCCTTTGTAATAACTTTACAAGGTAGGCCAGGTATTGACCATCTCAGGAGTTACCACTCCCAAGCTACAGACATGCAATGCCCCCATCCTCCTTTCACTGTGATCAAAGTACTGTTGTGAATTTCCCATTAAATTACTACAGCTTTTTGCCAGGTAGAGGGGAAAGGTCTGTGTGAGAGCACTAAAAAAGAATTCAAGCGTACTTAAAGCAGAAAATGAAAACTGCCAGAGATTCCCCTTAAACCAATAAGGGATTCAGCCTTTAAGTACATTAATATTTACTTATAAAGAACATGTTAACTTTCCAAAACTGACCTCAATCCAATTTGTGAGCCAGTAGCACTCTGGATCTGTGTTTTCTACTGTGAAAAGAACATTTCCTCTGGGAATTACAGAGCCCTCAGGAACAGCCTTTATTTCTATAGGAAGATGGCCATCGTATTTCTGTATAAGAAACAGTAATATTGTTAGACAATAGCAAAGATTAGGACCTACCTCTCTTTTATTTGACTGCAATGGATAAAAGCCAGGCTATGAGTTTATTGATAAAATTTTCTTCTTCATTTCTTTCAATCCTGAAAATAATTTTGTTTGTTTGCACAACCGCCAGCATAAATAAATGAAAAATCCACATTTATCAAAAAGGAGGAAAATCCTGTAACCAAAAAAACCAGACTCTTTAGCAAACCAAATGATGGTTATAAGTTGTATTCCTTGTGCAAACTGAGTCAGGAAGGTTTAAATATTCTATAAAAATACATAAATGTTCTACCCACAGAACTAGAAATATTTGCTACTACGTTTTCTTCAGTGCTTTCACAGGAAGCAAGCTAAAAAAAGTTTAGTTATTATCTAGGTCTTCAAAAAAATCTCTGTATTTGCTTAGTATAGATGTGTGCTTTGTTAAGTTACTAGAGCAGGATTCATTTAATACGTATTTTAAATAATAATTTATTATCTCAATTATTCACTAAACATGAAGTCTGATCTTGAAGTGTCAATCTTTTGTCAAATTCAGTCTCTCATACCTGAAGGACTAAATATTGTATGAAACTTATCTTTAGAAGAAAAGGAAATTGCGAACAGCAACTCTGAGAGTAATTATAACTTTCTGAAGGAGCTTTGCAAACTAAACTGATAATACTCAAAATGCTTTTTATATTAGTATTTTCTGACAGAAAGCTTCTCATGAGATATTCTTTAACGGCAACAAAAATTGCATCAATTCAGAGAAATTACACAGATTCATAAGTAGCAAACATATCCTCCAGTGCCCCAAACACTTCAGAAGTCTCTTCTATACTACAGTTTAAAAGTTTCTTCAGAAGTGTAATATGCTGAAGCATATTAGTTGTATTAGTACATATTTAGTTGTGAGACTTGAAGATGTCTGTTCTGGATTAACAAAGGACAATGAAGCCTTTGAAAAGGCTCAAAGTAATTAATGATTCAGTGAAGAGAAATGTATAGTTAAGTGAAAAAAATGAAACAGATTTCAAAGTTGATTTTGTCCACGGAAAAAAGCAATACGGTCATGCCATAGCTCTATATTACAGCCCTTTTCAAAATTTTTAGGTAGAATTAACTTGTACAATTCAGAGCTTACATCTGTATCACTCAACGTTGACTCCTGCCAATTTCCAGCCTTTACAGCACCCCCTAGTTCTCTAGGCAGTCCATTCCTCTCTTCCATCCCTTCACCCTATCAGTATTTACTCCTTCATTTACTCTCAGTACAAATTCATGCAGGTACATTTCAAATTCATTTTGGCACTTCACTCATACAGCTATTGCTCCCTCCACTTCAGCTAACACTACACAACAGGGTAACAGACCTAGGGAGCACACAGTGCTATGTGAATATATACGGGAATTTAGCACGCAGAAGAGGTGCCTCTGTGCATGTATAAGGGCATATAAAGACCCAAAGGGTACAGAGTTGCAGTTTGAGAGCAACCTGCACCTAAGATCAAGAAGTGGAAATCATATTTGTTTATATACATGCACAATTTTAACAAAATCTGACAAAGGAATAAACAACGTATACCGGAGGTATGTAGGAATGCTCTTTTGACTAAACCAAAAGTTGAATGGAATTAGATAAACCATGTTAAAACTCCGTGTGGACAGACATGCAGCATTAAAAGTGTATTAATTCAGTCTAGTCAAAGAGGGATCAAAATTACTTGAAATACAGATTAAAGCAGTTCACAATGTATAATGTAGCTTAAACACAAATGTGGATTGAATTCACATCTGTAGTTATTGGAAAGGCATGCAAGTCCTCTACAAACCTCTGTGTAACTCCCTCTCAGAAAACAGTGGTTTTACTGCCATTTGCAACATTTAGTTGAAATTCACTTTTCTCTTGTACACCTTTTATGGTCCACCTTGGTTGCAGGATGACATCCAGATATATTCACAGACAGATGTCACCATAAAATACCCTGATTGTATGTATCCAGGGAAAAATAAATACAAAAAACTAAGAATTGTATTTTCAAATACCAAAAATAACCATTCACTAGAACCCACAATGAAACTTAGCATTTAATTAATCTGCAGAGATTAGAACAGCTCTGATGAATGCTGTTAGTCTGAACCTGCTGCTTTTACAGAGAAGAGATGTTTGCAATTACTTGAAGACTGAC